CCCAGTAGTTGGGACTACAGGAGTGCACCACCTTGCTGAGCTTAGATTTTCAATAAATAGTAGTTGTTTCTACTTGGACAATAGCTTTGTTGCTGCAGGTCAAGTAAACCAAGTCACTCAAGTAGAGTTGAGGTATCTTTTCATGGAGAGACATATATATCTTTCCTCCATAGATTCTTCTTGATCTTTCCTTGAGAGGGAACCACTCTTTCAGATTTGTCACTTAGGCTAGTCTGTACCTCTTCCCAACTTTGATAGAGACTGGAATATTTGGAAAGAGCGTGGAGTCTGGAGTCAGATCTAGCTTTAAATCCTGACTGTGTGATCTTATGCAAGATACTTAACTTTTCAGAGATTGTAGTTTCTTCATCTGTAAAATTTTGAGTACTGCCTACCCCTTGGAGGATTGAATTAATAAAAATATATAAAGGCAACTGGTAATGCATTGGTGTTCACTAACTAAGAGTGTCTCTTCCTTTTTCCATATGCCACATCCTAGTTGTTCTAAGGTTATCAGACTTCTGGAGCAGTTTCTCATCTCACTATCATAGAGAGGCCTCATAGCTTACCCAATGACGCACTCTTCTATTTATTCTATTCTGGTGCATGGTAATATCCCATATTAATTGTCAAACCAGCAAGATTGTGTATGAATAATTATTTTTTATTAGCTTAGTATTGATAACTTACTGTGTGCGAGGCACCACAGGAAATATAAATCACCCTCATGCCTGACTCTTCTCATTGGGCTGATCTACCTACTATTCCCTTCAAGACATCCTGGCCTCTCTATAAACCCAGCCCCAATAGCTAGCAGGCTTTGCAGACAATCATGGTGGCTTTTTTGCCCCTAATTAGTCCTGATTTGATTTCGATTGATCTTATCTCCTTGGTTCCCTCCTTTGGCAGTGTACTCTGATTTAGATCATTTCTACTTCTGACTTCTCCTGGATTTGATTTTTCTCCTAATGTTCCCCCTTTATATATTTGACTGACTGGCATGGTTTATAGATTAGCTTCAGCCTGGGAGTTTTCTATTGCCTCAGGTGAGAGTACTTCCAGCTCCATGGGCTCCTCAAACTTTCTCAAGCCTGAATTCCATCTGGCTGACCCAGTCATGGTGGCCCCAGGGCGAGGAAGGGGTGACAGTTGGAGAGTACTAACCATTAAGAGTTATGTGAAATGGGCGGGGTGCAGTAGTGCACGCCTGTAATCCCAGTACTTTGGGAGGCCGAGGCGGATGGATCGCGAGGTCAGGAGTTCGAGACCAGTCTGGCCAACCCCATCTCTACTAAAAATACAAAAAATTAGCTGGGTGTGGTGGTATGTGCCTGTAATCCCAGCTACTCCGGAGGCTGAGGCAGGAGAATCTCGTGAACCTGGGAGGTGGAGGTTGCAGTGAGCTGAGATCTCATGCCATTGCACTCTAGCCCTGGCAACAGTGGGAGATTCCGTCTCAAAAACAAAAACAAAAACAAACAAACAAACAAAAGGGTTGTGTGAAATGGTTTGCTGCCCTCAGGGAGTTCACAATCCTTTGGGGGAAGATAAAGACATTAACACTAACAAACAAAAAAACAAAGCAAAATGAATGTTAAAGTATCAAATCCAAATTAATGTTAAAATTGTCATCTAGTGTATAAAAATATACATTAGCTAAAAATGTGTCTTTCATAGGTGTCTGATTTACAGACTAGACACTCTTGGACAAATCTGGTTTAATATTATATATAAATGTATTTAAAATGATTTTATGAATCACCTTTGAAAATCTTTTTTTGTAGTTTTTTCTGTTAAGAAAAATGATAATTTTAATTTTAGAATATGTGATTCCCATATGAAGAAAGTCCCTTTGTAATAGAATTAAAGTGAGACTTATGAAATATATCATGTTTGTATTGTTTATGGTATATATTTCTCAGTTTTGTTCTAGAAGGTGTAGCTGAATCCACACTCAAATATGGATGTACTTGGTTCTAGGAAAATATGATATTCAGGAATCTGATTCTGCAGAATGCATAAGTGAGATTGTTCATTTCACAATTGGATCATTCATTTTTACCTTTTTCCCTTTTCTTCTACTGCCATAATCTGTGCAAGCTGGCACAGGCCAGTGGAGAAGGGGTAGAATATGAAAAAGGAAAAAAACAATTAAAAGAACTAATGGTCTATATACTGGCTCCCAGTTCCCAAGGATAAGGAAAGGAAAAGGGAGTGGTGCTTGGTGCGAAAGCTCTCTAAAGAGTGTTGCAAATTCTAGCCTTTAGGAATATCCATGTAGTATGGAGTTGGATAGATAGTTGCTGTTAGTAAGTTGAAACAGCCTCAGTTCATGGGGGAAGGGGAGCATCTGGGCTCCAGTCAAGTAAAAGCTGGACTTCCAGGCAGGAATTGAACCTCAAATTGAGGAACTGGAGTGAAAATCAAGAATCCAGGCCAGGTGCAGTGGCTCATACTTGTAATCCCAGTGCTTTGGGAGGCCAAGGCAGGAAGAACGCTAGAGGTCAGGACCAGTGTAGGCAACTTAGCGAGACCCCTGTGTCTCCAAAACACAAAACAAACCAAACAAAAAAGGCCAGGTGTGCTGGTGCATGCCTATAGTCCCAGTTACTTGAGCAGATGAGGTGGGAGGCTCACTTGAGCTCAGAAGTCTGAGGCAAGGCTGCGGTGAGCTATGGTCATGCCACTGCATTCCCGCCTGGACCATAAAGCCAGTCCTTGACTTTAAAAAGAAAAAAGTAAAGAGTCCAAAGTCCAAAGCAGTATGCTCAGGCTTCATTTCAGGTCTTCTAGTTTGAGAAGGACAAGACTTACCTGACCACTAATGTCCCAGGTCTGAAGCCTAGGGTAGCTGAATCTATCATTTATTGGGCTGTTTGCCTTTGCTCAGATCCTCAACAACTAGCAGGACTGAGCTACAGGTGGAAAGACATTAGTGCATGAAGCCCCATGGAGCTTCTATATATAAAAATTATATTTATGTACTACTTCCCAGGAACATCTCTATTGCTCAAGAAATATTTGTTGGTGATTTGTTGTTCTGATAGTTTATTTTATGTGTCAGCTTGGCTAGGCCTTGACACACAGGTACTTGGTTCAACATTATTCTAGATGTTGCTGTGTAGGTATTTTAAAAAATGAGATTAACATTTAAATCAGTAGATTTTGAGTAAAGTAGATTATCTTCCACATTCAATCTATAGATCCAAAGTGAGGCCTGAACATACTTATTCCAAATTATCCTTCGAAGCCCGGGGGGTTTGCTCAGTCTAAAGAAGCAGCTTCCTGCTTTGGGATCCTGATTTTCATTCCAGTTCCTCAATTTGAGGTTCAATCCTTGCCCTGAAATCCAGCTTACATGACCTGACCTGCAGACCTTACTAAAGCAAAGATTGACTACCACCCTCCCCCAAGATGGAGGGACTCTGCCAGCAGACTGCCTTCCACTGGAGCTTCAACAGCAACCCTTTCTTGGGTCTCCATTTATATGTATACATATAAATATGTATACATATTTATACACACACACATACACACACACACACACACACACACACACATATATATATATATATATATTTATATATTTCCCCTATTGGTTGCATTTCTCTGGAGAACGCTGACTAATACAGTTGTATAATATAAAGTTTACCTGAATTCCACTCCACTGAAGGGCATCACTTGTTTGTGTTATGTTCCTTCCAAACTATTCCATTAATAGTATCTCTACCTCCCCACAATCTGCTTCTATAAGAATAATAGAAGAAAGTAGCAGAGTTGGGAAACTTCATATGGAGTACATTAAAAAAAATCTACTTTAAAAACCTGCTTGCTTTTGATATCAAAATTTGACCATATTTCTCCTTGCAATTCTATCACAAAAGAAAAGAAAACTTGAGCATATTCACAAAAATGGGTGGAAAAGTTTTCACTTGACAATGAAATGCTGAACTCTGAAGGATATTTAAAAACATTGTGGACATATTTGAACTGATTTCAGTTGTGAAAATTCTTTCACTTGACCAGGAGGGGAATACATGGATACATAAATGCAAGTGGTAATCTCTCATGATTGGCCAAGTCTTACTTCTGGCATTGCATGCAGCATAATGTTATGTAGTTGCTTTGCATTACGATTTCTATCAGGACATACATTATTTAATTTGTTAGCCTAATACAGATTAATATTAAAGTTCCTGTGTGGTCTTTGTTTTAAAATGTTTTTGTGTCCATCATATCACCAATGTAGTTATAAGCTTGAGAAATGGATTAGTATGAGGTAACCTAAAATATGAGCAACTCTACTGTAAATTTAGGTCAGATACTCTCTTAGTAACTAAACTGCTAAATATTGAAACTTCTTTTTCCCTGTAGCCATTTAAATCTTAGTTTTGGTTGGACATCTTCCTGGTGGCTGAAAGCTAATGACTATGGACATTCCTAAAGCTATTTTCTCAAGTTTCCTGTGTTTTTCTTTTCTTTAACTTCTCATTTACTCTTTCCAGCTGTTTGTATTTGATCAGTTGTTTTCTAAATGTTCAATTTCCTTTAACATTCGGTAGAAAATTTGGATTTCTTGATTAGCGAATATTGCATTTATAAAAGTTAATGTTTTAGTACGTGTGAGATTAAAGTTATCCATTACAACCAAATTTTGGTTTCACCATAGTATATTGATAATGTTCTTATATGGAATACATTTATAGCTAGCACCTAGAATCATGCTTGAGAAGGGACTTAATAAATACTTCTTTAGTTACTTAATAAAATCCAGTAGCAAACATGCTATGCAGAAGTTGTTCTCTTTCAACAAATGCCGTCATGTCATCCCCATTTTGCCTCATTCACTACTTTAAAAACCATAAAAATATAGTTTTGCTGATTTAGCTCTCAAGTAAAAAATATAAATTCTGAAACAATACATGAAAAGTAAATAATAATAGTTATGTAGGAGGATCATTCTAGATGGATAGGACAGAAATCTTTAACTAGATAACTAGTTAGTTAACTAGATAACTAGTTAACTGATTTTTTTTTTCACTATGAAAAGGCTTTAATGGTGGTGTCTGTATAGCATGGGATGTGGACAGGGAAAATAGCAAGTGCACACACAGTGGGACAGGCGACAGGACAGGCTGGGAGTGAATAAAGAGTTCACACCGATTCCCTGCTTTCCCCAGTGAATGGAGGCCCGAGGCCACCTCCTCCTTGGCCATCTCCTCAAACTCTCCCTTCTCCTTGGCTGTGGCATCCTGGTACTGCTGGTATTCAGACACCAGGCCATTCATATTGCTCTCAGTCTTGGTGAACTCCACCTCGTCCATGCCCTTGTCCATGTACCAGTGCAGGAAGGCCTGGTGCCAGAACATGGCTGTGAACTGTTCCAAGATGTGCTTGAACAGCTCCTGGAAGGCCTGGCTGTTGCCCATGAAGGTGGTAGACATTTTTAGCCCCTGGTGCGGGATGTTACAGACAGCCCTTTTCACATTGTTGGGCATCCACTCAATAAAGTAGCTGCTGTTCTTGTTTTGGACATTAAGCATTTGCTTGTCCACCTCCCTCACGGACATGCAGCTCCTGAACACAGCAGCCACCATCAGGTAGCAGCCATGGCGGGGGTCGCAGGCAGCCGTCATGTTCTTGGTGGCAAACATCTGCTGGGTGAGCTCAGGCACTGTCAGTGCCTGGTACTGCTGGCTGCCCTGGCTGGTCAGTGGGGCAAAGCCAGGCATGAAGAAGTGCAAGCTGGGGAACGGGACCATGTTCACAGCCAGCTTCCACAGGTCAGCATTGAGCTGTCCTGGGAAGTGCAGGCAGGTAGTGACCCCACTCATGGTGGCAGACACCAGGTGGTTAGAATCACAGTAGGTAGGCGTGGTCAGCTTTAGAGTTCTGAAGCAGATGTCATAAGAGCTTCATTATCAATGCAATAGGTCTTGTCTGTGTTTTCCACAAGCTGGTGGACTGAGATGGTGGTGTCTGACACTTTGGGCAAGGGCACCACACTGAACGTGTTCATGATCCTGTCTGGGTACTCTTCCCAGATCTTGCTGATGAGAAGGGTACCCATCCTAGACCCGGTCCTCCCACACAGGGAGTGGGTCAACTGGAAACCCTGCAAGTAGGTCACAGATCTCAGTCTCCTTCCTCACAACGTCCAGCACTGACTCTACCAGCTCCGTGCCTTCTGTGTAGTGCCCCTTGGCCCAGTTGTTCCCAGCACCACTCTGACCGAAAATGAAATTGTCTGGCCAGAAGATCTGCCCAAAGGTCCTGGAGCACACAGAGTCCATGGTGCCAGGCTTCAGATCCACGAGCACTGCACGGGGCATGTACTTGTCCCTAGTGGCCTTGTTGTAGTACACGCTGATGCATTCCAGCTGCAGGTCGCTGTCCCAGTGGTAGGTGCCTGTGGGGTCGATGGCGTGCTCATCACTGATCACCTCTCAGAACTGGTTGCACACTGCCTGGCTTGCAATTGCCCAATCTCCCTCGTGATGGCGGTGGCGGGGGGGCGGGCAGCAGAGACACAGGTGGAAGTAGAGAGACAGCAGCACAGGAGCAGTTGCACAGAGTTCTCTAGTTAACTGATTTTTAACTAGATAGGAGAACTTTTTAACTAGATATTATCTTATAATTTTTTTAGATTGAAATTTGTGCAACTATTAATTATTTTAAAATTGAATTAAAGAAACAGAGTCCCAGCACTTTGGGAGGTCGAGGCAGTCATAACACCTGAGGTTGGGAGTTTGAGACCAGCCTGACCAACACAGAGAAACCCCGTCTCTACTAAACAACAACAACAACAAAAAATTAGCTGGTCATGGTGGCAGGCGCCTGTAATCTCAGCTACTCAGGAGGCTGAGGCAGGAGAATCAGTTGAACCCAGGAGGTGGAGGTTGTGGTGAACCAAGATTGCACCATCACACTCCAGACTGGGCAACAAGATCGAAACTCAGTTTCAAAAAAAAAAAAAAAAAATGGAAATTACATAAAAGATAGATTTACAAGACCCTTCCTAGAAATAGCCATTAAACTAATACAGATGCATCCTTTTGAAATGAAGTTTATGTATAGTAATTGTATTTGGATACCTTTACAAGATTAATATTCATAAATTAGGAACGGTTTGAACAACTGTATTGCTGATGTTTTGGTATATCATTTTACAGGCTTACTTCTGTAGCTGGGCTTATTCATATGCCTGGTAATAGTTGGCTGGCTATCAGCAGGGGTGGTGGAGGTACCTGGTCTAAGTGTTACTTATAGTCCAATAGGCTGGTTTGAGCTTCTTCATAGAGTTGGTGCATTCCACTAGCAGTGAGGGAGAGCACACTCCAATGCCTAAGTGCTTTTCAAGCCTCTGCTTATGATGTGTTTACTCATGTCACATTGGGCAAAGCAAGTTACACAGTCACTGTGGGAGGTCGAGCTCAGCGTCTGTGTTAAGGGACTGACTACATAAAGGCAATGAATACAGAGAGGTACCATTCAATGGGAACATTATTATAACAGTAATTGCTATAATTTCTAAAAATTTGCATTGTTTTCTCAAAACACTGATAATAAACTCAACTCATAACTGGTCAATTCTGTAAACAAATGAAAACTAGTGATAAGTATAACTATTGTTGTTCTCAGACTTAAGATTCTAACATCACTTAGTCATTTAAAATACTAAGACAGATCGTATCATTGCCTTGCTCCAAATCTTTCTGTGGTTTCTTTTTTTTCTTTTTCTTTTCTTTTTTGTTTTTGAGATAGAGTCTTTGCTCTGTTGCCTAAGCTGGAATGTAGTTGTGCAATGTCCACTTACTGCAGCCTCCACTTCCCGGGTTCAAGCGATGCTGCTGCCTCAGTCTTCCGAGTAGCTGGGATTACAGGCCAGCACCACCATGCCTGGCTATTTTTTTGTGTTTTTAGTAGAGTCCAGGTTTCACCGTGTTGCCCAGGCTGGTCTCTAACTCCTGGCCTCAAGTGATCTGCCTGCCTCGGCCTCTCAAATTGCCAGGACTACAGGTGTGAAACACCACACCCAAACTTTCTATAGTTTCTTATTACAATTAGAATAACATCAAAATTTTCTGATATGGTCCACAGATCCTAAATAATTTTGTTTTGATTGACCTTTATGACATGATGCTCTACCTCTCTGCCCATAATTTATCATTCTTCAGCTATGATAGCTGTTTTTTATTCTTTCAACGCATTGAATTCATTCCCACTTCAGGGCTTTTCATTTGCCCTTCCTTCTTTGGAATGATTTTCCCTCGGATCTTTGCTTGGATGACTTCCTCTCAACATTCAGGGCTCAGTGTAAATTTTACTCCTTAAAAGCAGTTTTTCCTGACCACCCCTTCAGAATTAGTTTCTCCCATCCCAGATCACTCACTGTGTATACTACCCACTTATTATGAACTATTTCCTTGTTTTATTTTGTATGACAGTTATCACTACCTGAAATTATCATGTTATAGTATTTCTTGATTATTATCTTTCCCTACTAGGATATAAGATTTTTAAAGGCATAACT